TGTGGTCGCAATATTTTCTTGTCGCTAGCTATATTTCACACCTTAACAGACCAAAAACACATCCAACAGCTTCCATCTTGGTATCTATTTGTAGCTAAATGTTCACTTGTTCGAATTATAACTCTGTCCTTTGTTCTTACCTACTCCTGCCAGAGATATCTCGTGAAATCCTGCAGGAATTGTTCTCGCCATGAAAATGTAAAGAGGACGAGATGTCTGTTTATACACGAGTAATGGGGCGCATTGCATGCCGGGATGAGCTGCTGCTTGTGCTGCCTCCGAGCCTCCGTTTCGAGGCCCGCCTAGCCAAGCATAATGAGCGCGGGCATGTCGTCACACACACGACTGCAGTGATCGATCAAAAGTAGCGCCGTTAGGGATTTTCGGATGATACGTCCTCTTTACATTTTCACGGAGAGAACATTTCCTGCAGGATTTCACGAGATATCTCTGGCGGGAGTAGGTAAGAACAAAGGACAGAGTTATGAACAAGTGAACATTTAGCTACACATAGATACCAAGATGGAAGCGTTTTGGTCTGTTGTCGTGTGAAATGAAGCGAGCGTCGAGCGAATTTCGCGATCACGCTTTCCTACCTCCTCTCTTAGTCTTATTAATGTTGTTTGTGCACAGGGTGGGCTAGACCGAATAATTCTGTCCCATATAACCTTTTTTATATTTTGGTGAAGGTTATTGGGACAGAACGGGGTTCATTGAAATTTTCTGAGATCGCATGCAAAATGCATGCGCTGCTAATGCGCAACTTTTGTACGCCGCCATTGGCGCAAAAAAAATACCTACCGTTCCCTTCTACATGGCTTTACCTTGCTACTGATATGTGTATACATTCACTTCAATCGTTATTCACTTCTTAAAAGATTGTTTTTCAGAAACCCCGTTTCATTTAACTTTAGTAAATTACGTTCGCCATTTAGAAACAATCAGACCAATCTGAGCGAGTCTATCAGGCCTCCTGCAGATACACAGATGCCACAGATACAAGCGAGAACCAAAGGCTATTGTAAGACTCGCTCTGATTGGTCCGATTGTTTGTAAATGGCGAACGTAATTTACTAAAGTTAAGTGAAGCGGGGTTTCTGAAAAACAATCTTTTAAGAAGTGAATAACGATTGAAGTGAATGTATACACATATCAGTCGCAAGGTAAAGCCATGTAGAAGGGAACGGTAGGTTTTTTCTGCGCCAATAGCGGCGTACGGGCCGCATTAGCAGCGCATGCATTTTGCATGCGATCTCACAAAATTTCAGTGAACCCCGTTCTGTCCCAATAACCCTCACCAAAATAGAAAAAAGGTTATATGGGACAGAATTATTCGGTCAAAGGGTGGGCGTGCGGTGTACTTGTGTGTTGCAGATGAGCATTTGACCGGCATTTACGGGTAATTATTGGCAATAATAGGCGAAATAGAGTAGAGAAACATTAAGACTTTGGTAGCAAATACATTTCGTGTTTATTTACCTTTTTTAATTGCGACGTTCCAAGTGCCTGTGGCTGTGATCACCACTCACCAGACTGTGAGAATCGAGATTAACATTGTAATGTTCAATATTAAAACATCCGTGTATCCTTGAACCAACAACAGGACTACAATGCCACCTGGTAGTAGTATACCCGTACGTACCGTGCTCTGCAGCAACTAATTCATGCCTCTGTCGTTTGGATGGGACGACAGCATATTCATCTGCCCTTCTTTTGTCAATGACCGGCATTTTTTGTCTGTAAAGTGTGAATGTAACTTTATGCGACAATGACCAAAAACACGCCAAAACAGATAACAAGATTTTTACGCACAGATGTTCTTATAGAAAGAGGGCGCAACGGTCGCGATTCTAGACTGGTGCTCGCTTCCACCTCTCGGCTTAGTTATTCGCTGGAACGATCGAGTAAACCAGATCTAAGCCGAAAGGTGGGAGCGAGCACCAGTCTATCGCGATTATCAGTGCCATCAGTGCAATATGGCTGCGCACATGCTACATCGATTAAGGGTGGTATTTCTTGAATTTGAACAGAGGCTTTTCGGTTTTATTAGAGGCTATCCGCCACATGGTATGAACCTAATGTCTATGAGGTTTAGTGGTAGTATACTACATTTTTATATTCTACTATAAAAGTGAACGTCGCCGGCAGAACTTGACTAGGATGTCGTTCTCGGTTCTGAATGATGAATCTAACTAACGCTCATACTCATACTCGTAGTCGTACTCATAGTCACAGGCACTTGAAGCGTTTCAACTGTAAACAGACGTCGGCGCCATTGCGCGCACACTGACACATAAATATATAGTTGTGTGTACATATATATATATATTTGTACTATATAGTTGTGTTCACTATATATTTATGTGTCAGTGTGCGCGCAATGGCGGCGGCGTTTGTTTACAGTTGAAACGTTTCAAGTGCCTGTGCTCATAGTCATACACAGTCATAGGGTCTATGTCCCCCAGGGTACTGCCGGAACGTACCCTGGTAACTATCTGATAGGGTTAGGGAGTAGACGTAGGCGACTCCCTAGACTCATAGGGGAGTAGGCGAGGTACGGTCCGGCATATTATTTGGTACGTTCCGCCCGGTATACCGGACCGTACCCAGGTTATGTTCCGGCAGTACTCTGGGGGACATAGACCCTCTCAGCCTAACTAACTTGAACTTCTAGTTCTAATTACCGCGTTCACACGGTAATGGTTTGGCTCGAGCTAAATGGGCATCTACCGCTCTACCGATTTAGCTGGTGCTAAAATTTGGCTCGGGCCTGGTCAGACGTTTTCGATGGGACCAAATTGGGTTGTGCTAACTCGGCACGGCCCCGAAAAACCGTCCGTGTCAACGCTCGGCTTGAGCCAAATTTGTTGCGGGCCTAATTAGGCTCGAGCTAAAAACGTCCGTGTGAACGCGCCTAATCACAGGCACAGGCACTCTTGGAATATTTCGATTATAAAATGATTGATGGTAAATATACGCAAAATATATTTACTAGCAAAGTCTTAATGTTTATCTATTCTATTTCACCGATTACTGGAACAGTGTTGACTGTATCGCAGTTCGGACAGTTCTCTGCAACACACAATTTCACCGCAGGTGGTACCGTATGCCACTCACCCACTGAATGGCACTGTGGTCAAAAAACGGAAAGATAGAGCAGGTGGCAAAACGTGAGCACCAAATTCGCACAACGCTTTCTTCGTATCACGCCACCACAGCAGAAATCAGTGTTGTAGTCGAGTCCGCACCCCCCGAGTTCGAGTCCGAGTCTGCACCCCCCGAGTTCGAGTCCGAGTCACACGAGTCCGAGTCCGAGTCTGAGTCCACACCACCCGAGTT